TTTTTAAAAATAGTCATAGATAAGAATGGAAACAACACTTTTTAAAAGCTTTTTATACAAGCAGCTGCAAAGCTGAACAAACCTCCAACATGCAGCATGATTTCATTTCAGTATAGTCTATGAACAACAGCAAAGATGCGCAGAATAAAGTAGAACCCCCCCAAACAACACACAGAGCACAGACTATGAATTTTAATGCGTCCCCAGCACATGATGTTTTTATAAAAAGCAGTACATTATCTCTATCAACCAAACAAGCAGATATTTCAGAATTTTCACTAGTTCTTAGATTTGATATCAGCCATTCGGAATTGCCTCTGAATGTAGATTCTCAATACAATCTGATCAAGGCTATCCGTGTTTCCCTGAAAATAAGACCGGGTCTTATATTAATTTTTGCTCCAAAGCACGCATTAGGACTTAATTTCCGGTTAGGTCTTATTTTCGGGGAAATACGGTATTAAATGTGTCCGTCTGGCTGACAATCTTAACTAGGGCTTATTTTGGGGGTAGGGCTTATATTACAGGCATCCTGAAAAATCACGCTAGGGCTTATTTTCCAGTTAGGTCTTTTTTTGGGGGAAACGGTATTTGGTGATTAGGACCTTCCATTGTCTGTGTTTCAGGAGATGATTAAGTCACTGTTGTTTTTGCCTGGCCTTTCCTCTTTCTTCTGTGGCAATGAGGATGGAACTGTCTTTGCTATTTGACTGGCAAAGCTGGACAATATACATTAAAAACCAACCTAATTATAGGACTCTGGACTCTTGAATCATTGCAAGTAAGCAATGTTAAAAATGGATCTGTTTTATTTGGAGCCTGGAAAAAGCCCAGCATTTAGAACAGTTGCTAAACTTTAGGAAAAAAAATACGCATCTAAAATGTTTTTGCACATTTCTTTTACAGGGCAAATATTCTGGAAGTTAGTTATTGAATTTTTCTTGTCATACTTTCAGAGGAAGAAATTTGGTCAGTTATTATATATTTTATTAAACATTTTAAAATATTTGGAAATAATGTGCATTGTCTTTTTTCCAATACTCTTTACTCCTCAAAAAGTGACCCTGCATTTTAGTGCACATTTTATGAATAGGGCTGGTCCTGTTCTTCCAAAGTTGATACCTATAGCAAAGTGAGAACTGAAGTATAAATAAGTTTGTGTTGTATGTAGCAGCGGTCCCTAACCTTTCCAGCTCCTCAGACCGGTGGTGGCAGTAGGTTGGGGGGGGGAGGTGATGGTTTGGCATGTATATGCACTGCTTGTGCAAATGCAGCTTTGCGCGCTCATCCACTGCTTGTGAGGTCCGGGGTTTGGGGATGCCTGGTATTCGGGATTTTTGAATGTGGTGAAGTAACATTGTGTTACCCAGAGAGCACCCTAATACTTGGAGGTAGACTTAACTTGAAGTAAGTTTCTGTTTTGTTAGGTTCTGTATTATCACCTTAACAAACAGTTCCATTATGTTGTTTTCTGTTGAGCTGTACTCTTCAAAGTCAAGGTTTGTTTTAGTGTGTGTGTATGTGTGTGTGTTTGTAGAGAAAGAGAGACACAGAATGATTAGTTTAGTGTTACTCACTTTTTCATGTCATCTAGAGATATTTGCAAATGAGAAGCCATTGCTAGATGGTGCATGGGCAGTGATGGGCATATTACAAAATGCCCATGTTCCAGTACCATGTGTTATGTGAGATCTACTACTTGTCAGTTGTCTTATAGGTGTAACTCTCAGTGCTGATTTTAACCTGTAAAGCTCTTCATGGTATATGGTCTGGTTATCTTTAAAGGTTTCTGCCCACTGAATAAGAATGGACAGAGTGGACATACTCCAGGTCCTTCAACTTAACAATGCCATCTATCAGGACCTAGGAAGTGTACCTTGTCTGCTAAGCCACCTGTCCTCTCAAATAGTATCCCACAAAGGTCCACACGGTTCCCATTGTGATGGTATTCTGAAAATTCTTCAAAATTTGGTTCTGCTCCCAGGTCTGGGGACAGAGTAGCTGATGAACCC